TATTGAATGAAACTTGAATATATGGAATAAAAGTTTGAATATATTGAATGAAACTTAAATATAGAGAATGACATTTTCAGTGTGGAATTAAAATGCAAATTTGACAGTACTTAATGAATAATAATATAGCTAGTTATATCCTTGTTACCAGAGCAGTAGCTTTCTAATTTGAATGACTTTCAATTCATTGCCTCAAATTTTCCAATACTTTGTTGAACTAGAGAATTTTGGCAATAGCTGGTCATATTCCAAACAATCAAACAGATTGGAGTGTACATACTGTCATCTTGATTTCCATCATCTCAGACATTTCACACAGTACCCATGTTAATTTTGACAGGAAATTTAGTTTTAGTTTTAGTCTTTTGATTAAAATGCCATATAGTTTTAGACATACAGTATTTTAGTCATTTGAATTGTTTAGTTTTAGTCTAGTTTTAGTCAACTAAACATAAGATTTTAGTCAACTAAATATACAGTAGATTTATTTGACTAAAATCTGATGAGTTTGGTTAAATTGTAATGCATTAAGCATTTAAGTATCACACAACTGTTACTTGAATACACGCCAAAACGGACATCTTGGCATAACTGTGTGTGTTTTTGACAATTTAAGTGCAAAAATACAGAAAGTAGAGCTCAATTCAGTACTTGTCAGGGCCTAACGCATACCTTTTTATGGTTCTAGTTAGCTATAATAACCCTGAAACTAGTAAAATCTATTTATTGAATAATATGTGAAATAATGTCCTTAGTCTTTCCTTCCTGTGACTGGAATCCCTGAAACAAGACATACACTGGAACTCTTATTTGCAGGCTCATTCAAGTTCAGATGAGGGAGATAAAATATGCATTCTTACAACTATCTAAAACATATTACCATATAAACATTGCAAAGCAAACATTGCTGTAGTTCATCAGCACTATTTCTTATGCAATCGCCTGTCAAAAATGTGTGCTATTCCCTTATTGCGAACCACTCTGTATCAGTCTGAAGCACTGTTGCCCGAGCCTGTAGAACGTGTTACAGCGGCGAGTTTTCCTGCGGTTAGATCAGCACATTACAATTCAGATGTGCGCATCTACCTCACATCAGTTTGTCGTAAAATTACCAGAACTACAGGTAAATTTGCTGTTCACACAAACAACAGTGTTACTTATTTTGCCAGTAAGTTACCATTCACATGTTTCAAAACAACGGTGAACTCTGTAATATCAATCATCCACTTGCCTGATTCAAGTTTCATCCCATATGGGATGAAACTTGAATGGAAGTCAGAATATCTGGAATGAAACTTGAATATCTGGAATGGAAGTCAGAATATATATATATATATATATATATATATATATATATATATATATATATAATATATTCAATCTTTCATTCAATACATTTAAGTTTCATTCCATATATTCAGAATTCCATTCATATATTCATGCTTCCATTCAATATATTCAAATTTCATTCTATAAATTCCGATTTCCATTCCATGTACTCAAACTTCATATTATAAATACCATAAAAATTCCTGAACGGCATGCCATATAGTCCAGGTAATATGTTCACTTTTTCATAAAAGCATGAAACTTGGTATGGTTGCACAGGTTGGGGCCCTGAACATTTTCAGAAATGGAAATGTCATATCTCCTGAACCAAACATAACACAGAAAAGGTGATGTCTACCCCTATGTTTGGATGGTCAAAGATTACAATGATACCATATACAAAAACATAAACTCTTCAGATGAAGAGTTAATCGTGAAATCAGCAATGTGAGAAGGAAATAACAGTATCTGAGCATCATAGTATCACAGCATTTACAAAAGTCCATATTATG